GACTCATTTCATTAACAGTGGTCAGAGCAAGGCTGTCAAACGATGCGGAGCAAAACACGCTTAGCGCTGGACTTACAAGACTCCCGTGTATCCGGGGGCGCAGTGGCACTCTCCCGTTCTGTGGTCGCAGGTGGCTCCGTTGTGACACTGGCACTGGAACTGGCAGCCCTTGCCGTAGGTGCCGGGCTCGCAGAGCTCCTCGCATCGCCAGCCTTGGTACCCGTCGGCGCAGACGCAGGCGCCCGTGATGGGGTTGCAGAGAGCCTCGTTCTGGCACTGGCAGCGGTTGCTGCAGTGGGGGCCCCAGTGCTCGCTGTCGCAACCTGCAAAACGCACACTCGCTTACCCAGGGCAGCAGCAACGGGCACCGCCAGCCTCACACGCCCAGGCTGGCGAGCAGGCAGAGGCACGCGTAATACCTCGATCTTTATAAAGGGCCCTCAGACTTTCTAGAACTTGCACCCCTACCAGATCCAGCAACGTGCTTCAGCATGCAAGGAGACAACAGCACTAGTTATATACCTAAATTTGAGGACTTGTTTAACTGCTTTATTGGATCAGGACTTAAATCTTTTAATATCCTGTCTCTTAGTGCTCATAGATAGCTGGAAGGAATGAATTTATAGTGGAATTAGATGCAGAGGATCCCATCCTGACTGCAGTGTAGTTAATGGCAGGTAGCATTGCCAAGCAAATCCTGTAGATTTAATAACATAATCAAATATTGTTTCTTTGCACTCTTCCTATAAGATAGTAAACACGATAATCTAAAGAAGGCTTTCTCTTTTGGTGTTGTGTTTTTAGGTCTTTTTGCCCCTGAATTAGAGAGATGATAGGGAAGAAAGTTACACTGGAGATGGGATTTCATACGTAAGGCTGACCAGGCTTTGGGATGAAGGTATGGAGTGAGCATGTCAACTAATTTCTGTGCGAGCAACAGTACTTGCTGGCAATACAAAAGCGCCCCAAACCCCACGGCCATGGACACGGAGAGGAGGTTCCCTACAGAATGCATCAAGACCCAGCAAGAATCCTTCACACACCAAACCTGCCTGATCCCTTCTCCTTATTTGTGGATCATGTGCAGGACAAGAGAGGAAAGTCACAGAAACAGTTTGACCCTGGTTTGCTGCAGGAACAGCAACCAGCACCTGCAACACAGCTGTTGAAGATGTATGCATGCTAAGCAGAGAGCTCAAAGCCCACACCCCCAGGTTAAGGTTTCCTCAGTAAACAGGCAGCAGAAACCCAAGGATTTCTACAGAAGTCCTACCCTCCACTTAGCAGCTTTTCAATACAGCTGTGTCAAGGGTGAAGAAAATCATCATTTTTGTTCAGAATAGAGTTGCCGACAAAATCCCAGTTGACAGTTACAGATCATTTTGCAGGTACAGTCAGTTGTGTTCAGAGAGCAGGTTTCAATTACACCGACAACTCTTCTGCTCGTGTCAAAATCCACTGCCATGCAGGAAACGAGTGTCGGATCCCAGCCACAGAGTTGTCTGCACAAACTCGTTTAGTTGCAAACATGTAAAGTGCTGCCCGGGTGACGCTCACAGCTTCTCTGTTCCCAGACTTAGCAAGGTAAATGTAAAGCCCACTTATAGCCCGAAGCTCTTGTCCTGGAAATTTCCTAGCCCTCTCCTTCTACAGTACATGGCTGTAAACCCACCCCCGATAACTAGATCTATCAGTTCATTTTGGAAATATTTTTTCCTCCTCATTGGTCAGCCTGAGGATACTTGGCAGAAAAAGAAGATAAAGAGACATTACTCAACTAGCATTGCTGATAACCAATTTACAAACGTGTGTTTCTTGAATAACAGCACTAAAGGCCAAAATAAGCCTATGAGAAGACAATTCCAGGGTCTTCAGATGGATCTGCGGGGTCTTACAGGAGGCACGTGCAGAGAGATGATTTCAAGTCCTGCAGGAAGCAGAGCATGTCATGTACCTCTGTGCACAATCCTACTCGTGCCTCACACAAGATATTTTATTACTTTCCCCCACGCGTAAATAGGCATGATAGCTCCTCACTAACAGAACTGGGAGCCAAGAAAACAAAAACCTTATTCTAAGTCTTAAATTTTTACTGAGAATCTGTGGCAAAAGGTGATCTATCTTTATTTCACACAGACACTCACCAAGACCCCACAAGCCTTCTGGGGCAGGTAGCAAACCTGCCAGAGCTGATCGAATTTCCCAGCAATTTCCATTCCAGAAACACTGATTTGTCTTCTGGAGAACTTGAACATCAAGGGATGCAGTTCTGCACCTCCACAAAAGGTCCAAATCTGAAGCACACAAGCCCAGTCCTTTGCATGGGGAAGGGGAACGCAAGGATCAAACTTAACCCTGCCTGGTGCGGAGCCTTGAGTCCTTCCTGAGCACACCTCACATTAAAGCCCTGACTGCCAGATTGTGGCAATTCCAGACGCATTTAATTTGCTTAATACAAATAAATAACTCTCATTAGAAGATGTGACTTATATCCCTGGTCTTCCATGTTTCAGGTGAGTGCTCCAATCATCAGATTCGTCTGCTCGGTTTGTGGTTTTCACTTTGAAAGAAAGCGAAGGAGAAAGGAAACCTTTTACACAAAGGGAAAACCATTTCTCATCATGATCTAAAGCATCTTTCCTTATATTTACAGCATCTGCCCCAAACACAACTCCTCTTATGTAAGTCAGTCTTATTTGAACATTTATTTACTGCTGATACCTGGTCACACATTTGCTTTCTCCCTGTACCAAAGTTCCCTCCACAGTCTATCAAAAGGTAGGAGCAAAATGCTGAAGTAAAGAGCAGAAAGTGGCTGTAAGATCATAAAAAAATCCAAATCTGGATAATCAAAGAATCCTGCAGTGACCAGAAAACCAGTTGGCAGTTAAACAGATTTTTCCAAAACTTAGATTTTTCCAAAGTACAAAGCATCAGTAAGCACGCGTTGCAACATTCAGTGTGTTTAGCCCAAAGTAGCTAGCCAAAATGTTTTAATTATCTATGAAATAAAACAGCTTGGCATACCAGATAGCTAGTAAGAATGTGAATTTCATGGGGATTTATTAGGGAGAGGACATAAAAATGAGGATTAAAGTACAGAGAAAAATAGAATTACGCAGAGATGGGGCTTGTACTGTGACTCACAGGCAGTGCCTGATGCAGCCTTTGCACTTGTTTGGCCTCTTTTATGTTCCTAAAACTACCAGCAGGTTTGGACTACAGTCCTCTAAATGATTTGAAACCAGTCACAGGATGCGTGTATAACCAAGGTGAACATCCCGTTGTCTCTCTGCTGACAGGATCGTATATACACTACGACAAGTCAGCCTCTTCTAGATTTAAGTCTTTCCCTCAGATGGTAAAGATTTTCTGCTTTTAGCTATCATTTCAAGCCCTATATATGTCACAAAGAGCAGAACCATTTCAAGCAGTATCAATTCATCCACTGCTGATTAACTGCAAAGGGAATTGAGTCAAATTCATCGGCAATGTGTTAGTGTAAAATTTGTGATAATAAAATATCATCCTCACCTGACTTTACACCGCAGTAATCTCACATGAAAGTAAGATCTTTGTTGCTCAAAGTTTATCAGTTCCTATTGGTTTTCTTTTCCCCTTTCCTTTAAGCCCCGTATCGCAGCGACAGACTGTGGAGTTGCAAGTGAATTCTCTACCTCTGTGGTTTCATTGGGACATTATGTGATATTTATACTGTGATAACTCATAGATCCATGCCGTAGTTAACTCCTGTACCTTTACAAAGGTAGGCGGGCACAGAGTTGATAAGTTAAATCCGAGTACTTATTCCGAAAAGTAATTCCACTGAGCTCAACAGGACGCCTTCTGCGTGAGACTACTCAAGTGCACAAGTATGCAATTGGGGTCTAGAGAATTATAAAATAGAAACAACGAAAGACTTCAGCAATGGAGGCATATTTTATATATATCTATCTCTATCTCAGTATGGCAAATCCTAGCTGGTGTGTGACAGTGACTCCAGTTTCTGAGACGCAGGGCAAAGCAGTCTCAGACCCGGGGAAGCCCGCTGAGCTCCACGATTGTTGGCACCACTTCTCCTGTGGGCACAAAAAGGCCATTTTAAAATACAACTCAAGCCTAATCCTGCTCTGGCTGATAGCCTCGATGTGTTACCATAATAGAGATAAATAATAACAGCAACAACATGCGAACAGAAAGCTGATTAAAGCTTACACAAGAGCTACACTGTAAATGCATATGCCATTAAAAATGTCAAAATGATACAGAGACTTTAACCAATACCATCAATAAGAAAAGCAACGTGAGAGTGGCGATGTCAGGGAGGTACAAATGCTCCCGTTGGACTGCGTGTGTGGATGTCAATACCGTGAGAGATGAGTCGGAAATAGCGAGCGCTCTCTTGGGAGATGCTACATTAAAGGGAGATGCCATATTTCAGGTCACGTGCTAATGCTCCTCGGCAAACGTGCTAACTTACTCACTTTTTCTCCTTCAAAAATATGACTGGAGATTAATTGCCACTGGTAAAAATGAATATAACTCTGTAAAGGATGATGCTAGGTGCCTAAGCATAATTACAGTTGTCTGCATGCAGTGGTAGGACAGGTGAAATATCCTTGCCTCCGCGGGAAGCTTGCTCAAAACAACAGAAGCCTTTTCTTCCTCCCTGCATCGCCATCCCCAGCCCGAAGCCGCCGCAGCTCGTTGAAGGGAGGGCTAATTACAGCAGGCTCTTAGAGCCGTGCACAACTGCTGCCAGTTCTGTCCCAGTAAAAACGCAGCGAGGACAGACTGGAAGTGCTGCTTCATTCCCAAATGGCTGTTTTCCCCTCTAGGAATGACGAGGGAATCGCTGCGTTCTGGGTCAATGGAGCTAACCGGTATTTAGCGCAGCAGCACAAGTCATACAACGAGGAGGCAAAAACAAGTTTGAAAATTGAGCAGATGAGTAGAAGGACTCCCAAGGAAGGGATGACATTTATCGAGTGACTTGTCCCAACAAAGGAGAGTCAAAAGTGCTCATCCTGTGCTTTTCCAGCACTGCAAAGATGCACTATTAATAGGAAAACAGCATCTTCTATCACAGCAGCACCAGATTCTGTGGTCTTAAGGTCTACGGTTATTTTGTTCCCATTAGCATAAGCCTTTTTACAGCTCTGTTTTTATAGCTAGTGACCAGTCCTGTATATTTGAGGTACAAAGTCAGTGGGACATTCATAAACACTCTGCAGAAGGCACAGCTGAAAAAACCCAAGTGGTTGCTTTTCCTAGCCTAAGGACTCAGGACCATTTTTGGCTGATGGTGATCTTCAATAATCCA